ATAAAGGTAATATTTATAATACTTTAATTACTATTAGCTATATAGTTTAATATCTTCAGCATTTCTTTAAGAGTTAAATCTCCTTTAATAGTGCTAATTTTCTATAAAGCGTATAGTTGTAAATGTAACTTCTAAATTACATTTATTATTACTTTAATTTAAATAACTTTAAGTATATTAGAGTGTTTTCTCTTAATTTAATTCTATAAATCCTAGTATTTATTTAGCTAATCACGTATTTTTACGTAAGCAAAATAATTAAAGGCTATAAGTTAAGTAATAATATTAATAATTATAATATCCGCTTATATATTAACGTCTTTAATAATTATTTACATTATTTTAACTAGTAATTTATCTGGAGTCTATTCTCTAGCTTTAAGATTCTTTTAAATCCGTGAAAATACTATAGAGAAGATTAATATATTACATTTTATAAAGCTAGTATCTAATAATTTAAAATACTTTATTTTACCACGTATAATCTTTCGCAGACCTAATATACGAGCTATAAGCTTAATTAAAGTTTTCTATTTATTATAGTTAATTAAATCTACTAAATCCTTAATATTTACTATAATAATATTATCTAATAAAGAGAAAGCTAACATTCTATTAAAGTTTACTCGTATAAAGCATAAAACCTTCTAAAACCGCTTATAAGCTTATAGGTTATCTTAGATAGATTTAAAAGTCTCTAAATTTTGCTTTAATATACTTGTTTATAGTAAAATTTAATATGCGTTAAGATATTATATAATATTTAATCGTTATTATTTTAATTATCACTTAAATTACTAGTATTAATAAATAGCTGTTATTTAATTATATAGTTTATAATATTATTAAATGTTATATAAGAGCCTTTAAGTATTATATATTTAACTAGTTATTTAAAACCTAGCTTTAATATCTTTTAATATAATAATAAGTAAGGCTAATACTTTACTATTATAATTAAAAGTTATTATAATTATTAGCTAATTATAATAAAAGGGAAGTTAAGGGTATATAGCTTTTAAAAGGTATATTAATAAGCTATAATTTCGCTATAACCCGTAAATAATATTAATTTAATTTCCCCTTAATATAATTACTCTTTTTATTTATATATTATATTATTATTATTAACTTAAATAAAGTAAATAACTTTAAAATTTTTATTACCCTAATAATCTACTTTTTAGTATTAACTTTAAATTATTAGTTTTAAGTACTTAAAGTAATTACTTATAAAAGTAGCGTTAAGTTTTAGCTTACTATTCGTATAAAGTTATTAAATAAAGGGGTTTTTCTTTTATTATAGTTATTAATAATATATTAACACTAGT